GCTCTATATGGATGGTTTTCTCGGTGCATTTGTACACTCTGCTTGGGACACGACTACTGGTTCAGCTGTGTGATTTCGCAACTTGGTTTTATGTACATCGCTCACACTCATATTCCTTGCATTAGCCTCTAATGCCTCTATTATAATGAGGAAAAGGAAGGGGGCGAGAGGGTCCCCCTGTCTAACCGACCTTCATAGCATAATTTGTGGGGAGAGGAGACCATTGATTTGTATACGAGTTGTAGCATTGCGATGCAAAATTTGCACCCATTAGCGGAATTCTGGCCCAAAATTAAGCTTTTGGAGGCATGCATCTAAGAATCGCCAATCCACGTGATCGTACGCTTTTTCGAAATCAATAAAAACAAAGGCTGCATTGCTCTTAGACTGTCGAGAAAGCCTGATAGTCAATCCTATTTTGATGGAGTAATCAATGTTGTTTCAAGGGGTCCTTACACTAACCTGAACGGAATGAAGTGTCAATGTATGTTTTATGTTGCACTTGACTGCCACTCCCAGAATAGAACAGAGTCAGGGCCATAAGACCTGTTTATTTTTAAAACAAGATGACCCACCGCGGTTGCGCCCGCGGCGAGAGGAGCAAAGAATGTGAGAGGTGGGGAGGAGGGAGGAAACATGGAAGAGGTGTACCATGTCACGAGGATGGAAAACAAACAAACAGGACGTTTCTGTGTCGTTTTCAAAAAAAAAAAGAGGAGAAGGGAAATTTGTTTCTCCGTTGTGTAACATTTCATGTGTTGTTTTCGGGGGGAAAAAAAGAAAAAAAGGGAAATCCGTTTCTCCGTTGTGTAACATTTCATGAAGCCAAAAATACAATTCATCTTTCTTTTTCTTGCACTTTGTCTCTCTCTTTCTCTCTCAAATAGGACGTTTCTCTGTCGTCTAACATTTCAGGAGGAAAAAATAACAATCTCTCTCTCTCTTTCTTTCTGTTCTCTCACGAAAAAAGGGAGAAAAAAATAAATCTGTTTGAAACAATCTTTCTCTCTCTTTGTTTTTGTCCCTCATGTCTCTGTCCGTAATAGAATAAGCAGCCTCTCTTCTTGCCTCTCTGTCCTTCCAGTAGATCGATGTTGGCATTGGAGCTCGTCTACTTTCACTGGTCTCGGAGCGATTGTCACTTGGGGTGGCCAGAGGAGTCTTGAGCCTGGAGAAGACGCAGAGCCCTGTGAATGATATCAGTCCTGTAGACAGGGAAAGGAGGCAGCTGTGATTGCATCCCACGATGATGGACAGCTATGAGGTCGCCGAGGTATTCCCATGTCCGCGGGGCGTGTGGAATGTTGTAGATGGAAACTGTGTGGTAAGAGTTGAGCATGTCATGGATAAGGGCAGTGGCACGCGCACATCCATACGGTGCAAGGGGGCGCCACCAGGCAGGATCTGTTTCGCGAATGGGAAGGAGAAGAGGAGGCGGTGTGGGTTGTGCCGAGCTGATGAATGCGTATTTGTGGTGCGCGTCGAGGATGCGATCATGTCTGTATTTCGGTAGGCCAGCCCGAGAGCTGGTAGTGCGGTAATGGTCATGTTGAAGGATTTGTAGGAGGAACGTTTTAGATTGTGCAAACGTCGTTGTGGCGGAAGGGGCGGGCAGAGGTCGGTTTAGTTCCTGTTCTCGATTGTGTTTGTATGTGGCGAAGAAGGTCCACAGAGAGGGGGAGAAAGCAGCGTGGTCTGTGAGGAGGAAATCCTCTCATAGAATCTGGTCAATTATGTGTTCGATGGTGTCGGTGTGAAGGACATGATGTCAGCCATCCCATTTTGTGTACTCATCAGTGTCAAACATAGCTATAATATTAGACAAAATTTGAGAAAAGAGAAGAATAGGATCTAAGCGCCATCCTTGAAATATCAAAATTCCTCCACGCGCCCCCGGCGAGAAGAACAGTCCGCTTGCAATTTAACGGCGTTTAATATAGCCAATTGAAAAAAAAAAAAAAAAAAAAAAACCGAAAAAGAGACAACAAATCACACGTGCCAAAAGAAAAAAAAAAGAAAATATGAAAAACCCGTCCCTATCCTGACGTATTTCTTCCCAATTCTGACGACGCCTCTTATTTCGACATTCGGCCTGTTTCCCCATCCCTCTCTTTGCCCCTCCCGATCCCGATCCTCTAATCTCCACAGTTCACCTTTTCCCCATCCCCAGGTTTATCGCTCATTTCGATCTACGTCCCTCTTTGCCTCCCTCCCCCTCCCGATCCTGACACTCTAATGTCCTCTCTCCACTGCCTCTCCACTTTCGCCATCCCGATCTCCCTCTCCCCGTCCCTCCCTATCCTGACGTCTCCCTCACGTCTTCCCATCTCTCTCACGATGAGAACGCCTCCCTATCCCGACGCGCGACCCCATCCCGATCTCTCCCTCCCCCTCGTTCGCTGTCCCAATGTCTCCCCATCTCTCTCACGATGACAAAAAAAAAAAAAAAAAAAAGAACAGTTCGGCATCCCTATCTCAACGTCTCCCCATCGCTCTCCCCCTCCCCCGCTTATCACTACGGCTTCCCTATCCCGACGTCATAGTCCGTGCGACGGTATTGGCCTCCCTATCCCGACCTCGTTGACCCCATCCCGATCTCCCTTTCCCCCTCCCTCCCTATCCCGGCGTCTCCCCACGTCTCTCACAATGACAAAACATTTGGTGAAATATCCCAGCGATCAATCGGATCCCATCTTTGCAATGTAACCCTACCGGAAGCAGCCCAACTTTGCAAAATGCCCTGGCAAAGAGGGAGGGAAACGCGGAAGATATGTAATACATTTCAATTTGATTTCACCCAAAAAAAAATTGTTCTCTTTGCAATTTAAGAGAGAAGAAATCAGACGTCCAATGGTGGTTTATATGGCCAGCCATGGTTAGGAAAAAAAAAAACAATGCACATGCGATGTATGCCAATGTGCGACTCCATTCCGATGTCCCGTTTCCTTTCCCCTCCCCTCCCGTCCTGATGTGTGATGCATCCGGAGGTGCGACCCCGTCTCGATCTTGTGCGACCTCATCACTTCCCCTCCCTATCTATCCTGGACCGTCGTTCCCCCTTCCTCTTCCGTCGTTACACACACACACACACACACACACACACGCCCGAAGAAAAAAAAAAAAGGAAAAAAAAACAATGCATATTTCCATATTCTAGTGGTCTTCTCCTTTCGACTCTATCCCAATCTCCTTCTCCCTCTCCTCTCCTCATCCTGTTTCCTTTCCCTTCCCCCCCCCCCCCCCCCCCCCCCCCCCCCC